AAAAAAAAAATCTGTACCAAGTGCCCCAGGGTCCACAGGTTTTGTCATCGGGTCAGACCACTAGACTGGTCCAGAGGGTGGAGACCTGGGAGAGGCCTCTCAGGTGTCAGCCGGTCAGAACACTGGACCTGGGCCAGGAAGCAATGAAGGAGAGGAGGGGAAATGAGGGTCTGGGTGGGCATTAAGCAGAGGGGAGCAGGTCTTCCACAGAAACCTGTGAGAGACTAGATGCCAGAAGACGCATACTGGGGTGGGACAGACACTCGAGGATTTGTGAAGGGGTCTGACCAGTGGGCTATGGCAGGGGCAGGCATGGGAGCCCATTTGGAGGAAAGGCAGCAGGGGCTGGGAGAGACAACAGTCAGGGCTCAGTACTCTTGGAAGTTTGGGACCCAGTCGGAAAAGGTGAGACTCTGTGAAATTCCTTAGGCAGAGAAGTCAGGGCTGGACCTAAACACCCAGTCAACAGTCTCTACTCTTCACAGGCATGGCTCACCATAGTGATGCCAAGAGTCCCAGAGTGCCCTTCCAAACAGAAAGGCTGGCGGTTCTAATCCAGCCAGAGGCGATTCTGAAGACAGGCCCAGTGATCTGAAAAGTTCCAGCCTTGAAAACCCTGCGGAGCAGTTCTGCTCACGGTCACACTACCAGTAAGCAAGGTAACCATGGGCATGCTTGCTAGCCCGTAGTGAACAAGTTTCCACCACATCAAAGATTTTTACTTCTAGATCTGGCTGGTATCAGTCTCTCTCATACCCCACACGGCCTTCTGAGAGAATCAAATTCTCTTCAAATTTACAATCTCCAACAACAAATACCCAGTAAGCAAGGTAAACACGGGCTTACTTGTGCTTACTTACTAATCTAGAGTGAAGTTTTGCATGTACCAGGTAAACATAAGTTTACTTGTGTTTACTTATTAATCTGGAGTTCTGGTGTGGCTCTCCTTGGAAACGCTACAAGGGGTCGCTATGGGTCGGAGCGGACTCAACGGCACTTAACAACAATTTGTTAATCTGTAATAATTTCCAAACCATTTCACATATACCCAATAAGCCTGGTAATCATGTTGTTGTTGTTATGTGCCATCGACTCATAGAGACTCTGTATAGGGTTTCCGAGGAGTGTGTGGTGGGTTTGAACCACTGACCTTGCAGTTAACAGTCCAGTGCTTACCTACAGCACCACACCAGGGCTCCTGTTGTTGTTAACTAGAGTAGAAAGTCTCTCATCTTGCTCCCTCGGAGTGGTTGGTGGACTCGAACCACAGAATTTGTGGTTTGAAGTCCAGTGCTTATCCTACAGAGCCACGATGTTACTTATTAATCTATAGTGAACCGTTTCACCTGTATCCAGTATATTAGGTAAGCAAGAGCTTACTTGTGCTTAGTGACGTACGATTAGTAACTAAGCACTAGTAAGCTCGTGTTTACCTTGCTTGTCAGGGACTCCTCTCCTGTACATATATGGTAGACTTGGGTTAGAATTCACCCCATGGCAACTGGGGGTTTGCTGGGATCCACCATCAATACTCAGGGAAGCAGCAGTCAAGAAATCAAACAATATATTACATTAGGCAAATGTGCTGCACAAGACCTCTTAAAAGTGTTGAAGAGCAAAGATGTCAGCTTGAGGACTAAGGTGCGCCTGACCCAAGCCATGGTATTTTCAATAACCTCATATGCATGCAAAAGCTGGACAGTGAATAAGGAAGACAGTAGAGGAATTGATGCATTTAAGTTATGGTGTTGGAGAAGAATACTGAAGGTGCCATGGACTGCCAAAAGAGCAGACAGAAGCACAGCCAAAGTGCTCCTTGGAAGTCAGGATGGCCAGACTTGGGCTCTTATACTTCGGAAATATTGTCAGGAGGGACCAGTGCCTGGAGAAGGATATCATGTTTGGTAAAGTGGAAAAAAAAAAAGAGGCAGACGCCCAGCGAGCTGGATTGGCACAGTGGCGGCAGCAAAGGGCTCAGACGTAGCAACGATTGTGAGGTTGGCCCAGGTGGGGCAATGTTTCGTTCTGCTGTACATAGGGTCGCTATGAGTCAGTGCTGATTCGATGGCATCTAACAACAACTGGGAGTTAACCTTAAACGCTGGATTTTCCGAGGGTAACATTACTACACCTAAATCTCATCCTGCACCTCTGGGAGGGAGCTGGGATGGTCCCCAAGTTACAGTTCTGGACACACAGAAGGGGCATAGGCTCCCGGTTCAAGTCCGCAGCACTACGCCCGCGGGATCTCCCCAGTTCCTCAAAGTTTGCAGCTACTTTCTAGGTGACGGATCCCGGGCAGAACCTGCCCTTCCTTCCCAACTCAGCCCAGCACAAAGGAGCCCAGTAGACCAAGCCGAGCGCCCAACCTAGACTTGAGGCTTTTGGGGGCTGTAGCGCCTCGGGGGCTCTTACCTGCTCAGTCCGGTCAGGGCGCGCTCCATTCAGCCCCGGAGGTACCCCCAGGCCGGCGCTGGCCCCGGGAGCCTCGAGGATTTCGGGGGAAGGCTGTGCGCCAAGGGGCCGCCGGAGGGAAACCGCACCAGTGGGCAGGGCCAGGGTCGCGGCCAGGAGACCCCCGGCTAGCACCCAGGGGGCGCCCGCGGGACCCATAGATGCCGGGGCGAGCGACCCCCAAGTGGCCGGAGCAACCGAGTGGCGGACGCTTCCGGACCCCGGACCCGCCCCGCCGCGGAGCATGCTCAGTGTGCACGGCCACCGAAAGTTTTCTGGAGGGGACCTGGCATCCGGGACTCGGCGGGCGGGGGGCGGTTGACGGGGCCCCACCCCACCCAGATCTGGGCCCTGCCCAAATCAGATCCAGAAACTCCCGCATCCCAACGCTTTCAAGATTCCAGTGCCCCTGGGTGGTGCAAATGTTTGGCTGCTAACTGAAGGGTTAGAGGTTCCTGTACACCCAGAGAGAACAGATCAACTTGGAACACTTCAGCCACTGGAAAACCTGATGGAGCACAGCTCTACTTTGACACACACCGAGTCACCAAGAGTTAGAATGAATTCAACCCCAGAGCAGTTTGCTCAATATCAGCTCAGATTCGCCTCCTCCAGGCAGCCTTCCCTGATACACACACCTCGCCCAGAGACACTTTTGGAGAGACATGAGAGCATAGAGGGGCAGCAGTGAGGAGGACCCGCACTTCAGGGCTGGTAGGTGGAGGAAGAGGGAAAAGCAGCCCTTGCTTAAATCACTACCTGCATTGGCTCAGTACACAAACACACAGACACTCACACTCCCAGTTGGAGGCAGGGAGCCTTTCATTCTTCTTGGATCAACTATCAACACTCATGGAAGCAGCAGTCAAGA